GTGGTGGCGGTGGTGGCGGTGGCAGTGGTGGCGGGGGTGGCGGGGGTGGTGGTGGTGCAGGTGGCGGCGGTGGTGGTGGTGGTGGTTGTGGTGGTGGCGGCGGTGGCGTGTTGCTGATGGTTGTTGCTGATGATGATGATGATGATGATGATGATGATGATGCTGTTCTTGCTGCTGCTGATGGTGGTGCTGCTGTCCTCACCAGACTTGGCCACAACGCTCCGCGGCTGGCGTCCTGCGGTGGTCCGGGGTTTCGTGACGCCCGAGTCGGCAGAGGCCAGGATGGGCTTGTGGCTGCTATGGTTTTAGGCCTTTAGGGCCGCAGGGTTTAGGAGTGACTGGGATATTGAGAGCAGTCTGTCGGTGCCGGGGTTTACAGTAAGCTGTTTAGAACCTTCAGGGCTTGGCTTTGGGGTTCTACGATCTGAAACCCATGAACAACCGACACACAACTGTGAATATTCTCAAAACTGTGTGGCTACACCGGTGCGATCCCCCGGAGCCACTCTGGTAAAGGCATCCCAATTTTTACTCAGGATCCGAATGTGATGTTGCATACTTTTCGTGCGTCCTAGGATGTACAGCGAGCGGCCGTGTGCCCCGGAGGGCCAGACTCATTGTAAATTACAAGGCCTGGACTGCTCTTCTCACGAAAGCCTTGAATCGCTGGGGGTGTGGTGGATCCCACCTGTAAAGGCTAGAGTGGCTAGAGGTCACCAGCCAATACCAGGTTTCAAATTGCTTCTCTGATCGGTTTGTTTGAGGTTGAAGGTTTGCGGATTTAGGATCTAGGATTTTGGAGCGAGGGTCAATCCTTTTTTGGGAGCTTTCCAAGACGAGGGGAAAGCTCCCGTCATTTTTAACTCAAATCCTGCATCCGAAACCCAAGCCGAGACCCACAGTTCGGCGGCTAATCGAATTTCTGTTTTGTGAGACGCCTCCCAGGTCGCATGAGCACAGAAGCCGGCGCTCCTCAAGCATTGCCCGTCCTAGATCCTTGCCAAGCCCTAATTCGCCGAAGCTTTCACTGGCAGTAGTTAAAGCAGGCCTCACACTTTCAGGGCTCACCTATTCCAACTTGGATCTCCGCGGACAAAAAGGCCCTCAAGCGAGAGCTGTTGGGACCGGCTGCCTCCTACTCGAGGCTTGGCACTCGGGCAACTGGTCGATGGCATTCCATGGTTTAAGTTGCGCGAGTTGGACTTGCTTGCTGTGGTGCTCCAGGATAAATCCACAACAAAGCAAAGCAACAGCAGCAACCGCAGCGACAACAACAGTGATTATGATAAGGACAACCATAGCAGCTGTAGCAGCAGCAACAACAGCAGCAGCACCAGTGAGACTGACACTGACGGTGACAATGAACATGGCATTGGCGGCAGCAGCAGCAACAACAGCAGCAGCAGCAGCAACAGCAACAACAGAAGAAGAAAACAATCACAGCAGCAACGGTTAAAAACAAACAAATGTTTAAACAACAACATCGACAGTGACAATGACAACCACATTCGCAACAGCAGCCGCAGCAGCGTCAACAACAACAACGACCGCAACGGCGATGTTGATAGTGACAATGACAACCACATCAACAACAGCAGCAGCAGCAACACCACTACCACCACCAACAAAAACAACCGCAACAACAACCATGACTGCAACACCAACAACACCCACAACACCACCACCACCACCACCACCACCGCCAACACCACCAACAAGAACAACAAAAACAACATCAACACTAGCACAAACACTGACACTATCAGCGCTACCACCACCACCAGCTACAACAGCGACAGCGACAGCAACTACAACAACACCACCACCAACAACAACAGCAGCAACAAGAGCAGCAACATCATCATCATCATCATCATCATCATCATCAACGCCAACAACAACACCAACAGCAACAGCAGCACCAGCAGCAACAGCGACAGCCGCAAAAACAGCAACAGCAACAACAACAGCAACAGCAACAACAACAACAGCAACAGCAACAGCAACAGCAAGAACGACAACAATAGCAGCAACAACAACAACAGCAACATTAAGTAAAGCTGCACTGGTGGTACGCTGATTGCTCCTATCTGCCAGAGGTTCGCCGCTTCCTGGGCACAGCTTACTCCATCAACCTGAGTGAACATGTAATGTTCGGATTGGGGTTCCTGGCTTAGCAACTCGCTGTATGCAATCGAAATGGGGTTTCTGGCTCAATGTCCATCTAGGTACAAAAGAAGTAAGAGTGTTACAAAACGGAAACAATGCACAGCAAGATCGAGTATGACGTCACAAACAATATTGCAGGTACACAAGGGTGATCAGCCTTTGCTTCCCATCAGATTCCGTAGCTTTGTCAGGCACGGTCTGGAAT